ACTACGGACCACAGATCCGTAAAGAAAAAGGTTGGATGGGAAAAACGGGTGATTGAGAAGTAAGATGGCTGTCATAGGAGTTCGTTCGTTCGTTTCAGCCTGCTGCTGGACAAATGCAATAGGATATTTTATAAATTTAAAAGTGGGAATGCTAATTTTTTCAATCAATTTTCATTAACGATTGATAAGAATGATTTAATGAAGATTTTGTAATCCTAATCTATATCCAATAATCCCTGCTGCCATTGTAGTTTTAAAGTTACATAAATCATACTGCAAGCAACCTTGCCAGTATTTATTTGTCTTGTGCCATTAGCATTAGTTCTAACTACAGAAGTACACAAATCCTCAATACAAAATCGCCTTGGTCGGTTCAGCGCACACCGGCAGAGTAGAAGGTCGCCAACATTATAGAATCGATTGTTTTCAATTAGTCAGTTGCTGAAAAACACGTTATCAGAAAAGTAATTAAAATGCGTTGAACAGCTGCATAACCTTACAAAAGCTGTTTTAAACAGGACGATCAACGAAGATTAATTTATCGCGGCATGACTTTATAGGTTCGTACTAAAATAAACAACAAAATTAAAATTAATGCGAGCTTCAGGAAGAAAGGCGGGAGGCTTAACGATCGCCTTGGATGGTAACGAGCTGTGTGCCCGCGGAATAAATTATGGCGCCAAGTCTGCTAAATAGTGCTACCATCAGCACATTTATTTAAACAATCATTGCATCGCAATTAATTTCCATTACCACCTTCAATAGACTTGATATAATTTTATTCAATTTGTTTTGTACAAACCGACATTAGAAGAAGTTACTGGCCTACAGTTAATTACAGCATCACGCGAAGTTATTTAATTAACATCTATACCGGCCGCCTTACTTCCAATAAGTACAGAAACCAGCCAAGTACAAGTTGGCTGAACTGTGTACGGGTCAAATTAATTTCTCTAGAGTTTAAGCACCTTCGCTTCCAAGAAATCTAGGTAGGTACGTGTTTAATTCCAAAGTCACAGCTCGCTTATTGCCTCGTCAACCTCTCGCATGTCAGAAAGGCGATTATTACATTTAATTCTTTTGACTTATAGGTATTTGAACTTCTGAACTAGCAAATAAAGCCTTTTTTTATTTGTAGGCAAGTAAACTGTTCCTGCGGCATTAAAAACTTTAAAAGCAAGTCATCCATGTAGACTGAAGGGTCGTAAGTAAGTAGGTACGAGAATAAATAAATCAGTACGGGGTGTGAAAGCATCTCTATTAGTTCAGAAGAACCAAATACTCCTAGGATTTCTTCACTGTATGCGTTAAAAAAACCAACAGGCGATTTCTCTCGTACTTTAGATGCGGTACCGTGAGACCGCGGCATTCCAGGATGGGTGCAACTAGTCATAATTAGAAAGAGCACTCCTACTTGGAATTGTGCATGCAACTTGATTACAGAGAGTTAGCTCGTCAGGAAATCGCTTGGCGTCCGTGTCGCCGCCAAGTCGTTTCGTCCACTTTTACTTTCGCCGGTCCGTTCACCTGGCACGGCGTTCAGAAATGCCCTAACCATTCAATGTTTACCCGATCCTCATCTAATCTAGCCACACTTTAAAATTTCAAAATTCATTCAGTCTGGACGTATTTAACGCCCATATACACAAACATTATTATGAGGTCTCAGTGCGCGTGGACGCACAGGATGACACACGAACCAATCACAGAGCTGTATTCAACGCTGTGCGTTCGATTTGAAGCATCGTTTGTGAATACGGACGTAAGAGACAATCGTTCATTAAACCCACTTGTTACTAGCGTTTGATATACGGATCAACATAAAAATTAAATTATTATAAACAATGAGGGTGGTTTCTGATAACATTGTTTATGTTAAACGATTCCTGAGGGGTCCCTTCGTCCATCAGAAGTGTTCTGTTCTACATTGGGTGTCACATTTCAATAGTAAGCGTTTTGTTGTTTTCGTAAATTTTACGATGACATTTTCAAGGTGAATACAAACATGATAAGTATTTATTCTAAAGTATTTCTTCCCGAAATATGAAAGTTTGTAGCCCACTTTTTGTAAATCGATAACAAAATTATAAACATTTTTATAGTATAACTGTTACTAATTCAACGTTAAACTTAGTGATCCGTATAAGGAACGCTAGTAATATGAACTGCGGTATTTTGTTGTTTTAGCGCCTGCCTTCGAGGCCTTTTCCTTTACATGAAATCATTGAAGAATTGGAGAAAAATGAAGATGAGTGTATCCCTAACTAAATCACAATTTTCCCGCCGGAAAATCCGGAAAATTGTAATGGTGACTTAACCAAAGAGAACTCTGGTGATGTAAATAAAGTGTCTGGATTACAAATGAGAGCCCACGTAGAAATCACTAGATAATTCTTCATCCAGTGATGATGAAGAAGACTGCATCCTGTTAGCTTAGATATCCAATTATGCCCTAGACAGGGTCAGTCAAGTTTGAAGATATGAAGAAATTATTGTTTGTAAATGAGATGATTTAGTGTGGTTACAGTTGCTTCAAATGCATTGAAAATTGCGCCAACTGTCAAAACCAAGAGATTTTCTCCGCCACATAAACAGAGAAGAAGTATTTTAACATCTCAAATTCAGTTACAACACACACACAGGTTTTATAAAACTCACGCTTTGATACAAATGCAATGTTTTTCGCAAGAAATATAATAGTACCCTTGATCCCAGAAAATTTTTTGGGCATAATATACATTCACACTACTGGAATTAAATTTGAAAAATAATAAATTTAACTCTGAATATTTTTTTATTAATGAATATTCCATATTTTATGCAAATACTTTAATAACTTACGCAAGTCGCAAAGAGTAGGTATTATCTCTTAGTTCATACAACTGGCCGTACATATTACTAGCGTTCCGTATATCAAACACCATTTTCCAGCGTTTTCGTAAGACCAATATTTTTTTTTGTATTTTTCCTGTTGCCTTGATGCATTAAATAGCCGATATATGCAAAATCACAGGAATCGTAAGAAAAAAGGGATATCCGTAACAACTGGGTTAATGTGTTCAATATTAGTCCAAAAACCCAAATAACATTCTAGTGTTATTATCCCATCTGATATTAATGATCATCCTCAATATTTAACACTAATTATCCACTAATTTGCTGTGTCGAATATTATGTGTCAATTATCACAACTTTGTTTGACTGTTTTTATTTCAAATTAGGTGTTTAGTTCTAATTACCAGTTGTTAACTATGCTTAAATTCCTAAAATTTAATGAACTACTCTACCCATATTTTCCGCAAGTAGATAGGTATTATATAGGTAATATGTATGTATGTATCTTTAGAGCTTTATTTTAAATTTTTGATTGTGTCCAATAAATAACAAAAACATAGTTTCTAACTTGTTTTTTAATTATTTTTCTGTTGAATTTTATGTACTATCGCCAACAGTGTTAACTGCCCATTGAAAGTCATGTCATCTCGTTCTATTGCAAAGAATTGCCATTTGATTAGAGCGAGAGCAAAAATGGAAATGGATAGTTAACAGTGTGGGCGTGTGTACATGTGTATTTATCTCCAATCCATAAATACATATGTAAATAGGAAAGTATGTGCTCAGGATAATGTCAATTCAGTTTATTTTAAGAGCATTGCAACAGGAAAGACAAAGAAACCCATGCAACAAAGTAATGACAATAGAAACACATTCTATTTAAACCACCATGTGTGAATAATTACAAAATTATTAGAATACCATGGCCCAGGTGTTTAATTACCTATGATTGTCTACAGTCCATACAAACATGTGTATTAATTCAATTAGAAAATTATGATCATTATGGAAATTAATAGATAAATGGTTTGTGTACATGAAATGACCGTAATGTTCTGTGTACGTACATGTAGGTAATTCTGAATATTATGTTAAACTACAGAGTGACAAAGAAAGGAAGATACTTCTAACTCTTTTACAGGCATTTTCTCCTTGATATGAAGGAAGGAAAGAAAAGTTAAACTAAATTAAATTTGTTAAAAATCACCTTCGGTACAATTACAGTGTATAAGTGGTATTTTAGAATTAAAAAAAAGGTTGCGGGTGTTCATAACATTAAAAGTCTACTAATTCAAGGTCAATTAAAAGTGTAGGTTGTTAATGATTGCATTAACAGCCAGTCTGATAGCTATAGACCATAAACCCTGTCATAAAACTCATGCCCATTCTACTGTGCTCAAAATTATATTTCCCATAAAAATTTATGATCTATGAAAGTTGAAATTTACTACACACAAGTTGAAGTTTTTTGCAAATTGTTGAAAGTTGTTCTGAGTCTGTTAACATTTTGACTAACTTATAAGTTTTGTTGAAAACAACTTAGGACAAAACTTTACATGTTAGTGCACATTTCTGTTTTTGTTTTCTAAGAGTAAATCTTTAGTGAAAAACAATAAGAAAGTTTTTACAGAATATCCTTCATACTTTGACTGAATTTCATCTCCAACTAGGAAGTAGTTTTGCATATTATTTATTGGCCTGCTAATTAACTTAGAGAGCAGCGAGTGTTAACTAATCATGACCAAATTAAATTAAATTGAGTGTATGCTGTGGTAGCCTTGAATATTGCAAAACATCTTCTGTAAAGCTATTCTTTCACAATAAGGCTAAGATCATAATCTCTTTTATAGAGCAGAAAGGAATTGAGTCATGATAATTATTCATTTTAACTTGGTTCTCTGCATTCAACTAAGATGAATACAGTGTAAAAATTTATCAAAACCTTCATCTATTAATAACAACAAGGATAACAATTATTTACATGATTATCACCAAATCCCAGATATTGTTATGATTCAAGTAGCATTACGTTGAAGTTCTAACCAACATTGATAAACATAATTAATATAAAATACACAGGTACATTGTCAAGGATAATCAAGTTTACTGTAGATAGGCACCAAGTTGTTATCTTTTACTATAGATATGGTTGATCAGTCACTTACCTGAAGTCCAAACTAAGATTCCTTTGATGTGTAGGCGCCTGAGGGACCTTGGGATCGCGATTTCCATGGACGGGTACATCTTCCAACATGCTCACACAGTGGCTTTTGTCGCACAACACACTATACCCATAGCACAACAACCCACAGCAAATCAACGAGTAAATAACAACATTGCCAACATGGCGTCGAAATAAACTGTATCAAATCGCGAACACCCCACGCTAGGACATCAACAAAACAATTAGGTACTAAGAGAAATTTATCTACTCTAGCACTTGTTCTACAAAATTCTGATTGTAAAAGCCAGATTTGATATCAATATTGTACCAGTTTTCTATTGTGTCCTACTAAAAATTGGCAAACGGAACACGACAAATTTAAAGTGAAAACACAAAATGACGAACACTTAAAACGATTTGAAATATAATAATAAGTGCAGGCGTAACAAAAGAAACAAATTTCTCAAAATTAAAGAAATCGATGGTTCTTCGTCAGAAACGACATCATACATAAATTTAGTTTTTTTTTTTTTATATGTCACTCCAACCAAAACCACTAGTGAAACTATCAATAACGTGATATTCATTTATGTGACAATGTATTTATTTGAAAATCACCATTATTAACATGTAGTTTTAGTTGTATTTTAATATCTATCGCTGTTATTTGAAACAGAAGATAATTTTATCTGTTTTGTTATTAAAAAATATTCTTTATGAAATGAGCAACAATAAAAAAAAACTCGTTTTAATTCTAATACTTTACTTCCAGCGATTTATTCCCGTTTTCCCATCAAGGGGACAAGCCTGGTGGGGATGGTTTAGGTTCTTTATTCCCGTCGTCCCATCTTCTCTGGCCGATGGGGACAAACTTGGTAGGGATAACGGGAATAAACCTTTCTATCTAGTGTTGTGTTTGGATTCTTTGGATGTTTGTGATGAGGATGTGATGTGATGTGGATTAAAAATTGATTGGAGCCAGAGCCGCTGAATCCTGAATTATAGTGGATAATAAATCAGCAACAGCTCAAATATTACTGTTTTTAAGTCAATGCTGTTGGTACACAGATTTTTTGTCGTTAAACATGATAATCTCTGAATAGTCTTTTTAATTATCTATACTTATAGTAAATCTGAGAGAGCAATTCTGTACATGAAATATATTTTCAAAATAGTTATCAGGGGGTGATTAGTGATCGATCCTGATGCCAAAAATGCAATCAGTAAAATTTTTGTCTGTCTGTCTGTATGTTCCTTATAGAAACAAAAACTACTCGACGGATTTTAACGAAACTTGGTACAATTATTCTTCATACTCCTGGGCAGGTTACAGTATACTTAAGAATTCCCACCGGAATGGGAATTAGCGGGAAAATCCTTTTGTTTGAAAAATCTAAACCGCTTAAGTTAGACGTTTGAAATTTGGCATGCAGGTTCCTTAGTAAACTTAAAGCTTAGTTACAATAGGATATTGCAAAATTACCACGGGACGGGAGTTAGCGGGAAAAAACATTTGTATGAAAAAATCTAAACCGCGTACGATAGATGAAGGGGGTAAAACGGGATCCACGCGTACAAAGTCGCGGGCGGCCGCTAGTAATATGAATAAATGCGTGGTAAATTCAGACAGCTGCTCTTAAATCAATAGTTTTGCTACTATCGCGTTCTTCTTACAAAATTTTGCACACAGTAGTTAGTGACTGACTGCTTCTTCTTTAGACTTTTAAAATGTATTCCACTGTCCACGGTGTCTCTTTATATCTCGACATGGCGAAATCAGTGTAGTATCAATCGGAACATAATGATGTATAATAAGCATGTGAAGGCCTTTCCATAAGGGAAAAAATTGTTTTGTTTTATACGTATTTTATTATGTATTTCTTTAGAGATTTGACTATTATTTAGGTAATAGCCTACAAATACAAATAAAAACATTTTGATATTGACTATAAGATACATAAATCAAGATACGCCAATTTTGAAATAAAAAAATAATAATAAATAAAATAATCTATAACTTAATACATACTTCAATACTCAAAATCACCTTCAAGTTCACTCCAGACATCACTAGTTAGCTATGATGGTTTATTATTTCAGTTTGGTACGCCATCTATGGGCATGATTCGCAATTAACTTCTTCCGAGGAGACGAAGAAGTTTTAGTCCTTTACGTCAGATAAAGAAGCAAAATACAGAATAAAATAAAAACAAACTTTTTTCAGTATAAACTTTATTCAGCGAAGCTTTAGAAACTTAGTTATTGTAATTTGTAATGTAAAAATATAAATTATGTAATACATCAATAGGTGCAGTTTGGTTAAAAAATAAAGCTACATGACTTTTAAACACAATACATATATGTATCAAATCTTTCTTTCAAAATGTGTATCACTCAGCCACTTTGGTCTGACACCTAGAGTCCTAACATCCTGAAATAACATAAAGATAAATACTAGAGCTAAAATTGTTAACTTAGTTGCACTTTTTTGCTTGAGTAACTCGAAATACTTGAAGATCACAGAGCGCCACAAGCAGTGATATAAATATTTTAGTAAATATCTGGTTATTGTTAGAAGTTCATGGTTTAGGGGAAGTCTCTTGTGACTGAGACTGGCGTGCTGACGGTGGCCGTTTGTGGACGTTAGGTTTCCTCAGCCTGTGATAGTTCGGCATCACTTTACTCAAGAAGTCCAGTTGGAGGAGCTGCGAGGGCTGCTTCTCTAATGCTTCCCGTATGTGGTGCTCAGAGCCCCATATAACTGTATTATCCGTCAATGTCTGAGGGGCTGTAAGATGACATGCTGCACCTGAAAATGTTGAACATTTTTAAATCAATAATCTACTTATCTACTTGTAGATGAGCCACCTCAATTTTAAATCCGGCTTAAAATAATTGAAATTGAATTTATTTACCTATTACACATCCACTTCCAACTTTAACGTCTACACCAACAAAACATCTGCATTCAAACAGGTTGCTCTCTCCGACGTGACCAAAGGTTGACTCTAACCGACAGCCGACTTCAAACACATTATGGGCACCGATGAACAAAGGTTTTGGTGGAACCTCTTGGTCATCACACTTTCTGAAATAAGGATTTACATATTTAGTAATGTTTGTTGCCTTTTTTCTATAGACTTGAACGCTTGAAGCTTAAACAAATATAGGTAGTTAAAAATATAGTGTGTTATTACTAGATAACTTACTTGTGTATTATGGTAGAGTATTCTTCAATAATGCAATATTCAGCAATGATTATTGGACCACCTTCAGCTATGATTGTTACGCGAGGATGAATGACTGTGCCTCCGCCAATGGTTATATCGCCTTCGAGGGTGCAGTCCTCACAAACTGTAGCTCCTGGTAATATTTTAATGCTGGAATCATACTAAAAATTAGTCTCGTCTTCGAATTATGGCAGTGAATATAATGTAAGTAAAACAGGAATTTTATTACAATTTACTTACTTGTGGGACATTGTGACAGAGGTATATTTTTAAATGTAGAATATAAGCGTTGGAATCTTTCTACAGACTCGACACCCACTCTAAAAATTAGTTAAATAAACTAAAAATGTTTTACTAATTTCACCAAATTCGTATTGCACCAGCTGTAGTGACGTCATCCATCAACAAGTTCGATTTTTTTTTCACAACTAAAAATGACAGAATGATTTTTTTATTGTATGGTTGACCATGGCCTAAATAAAAGTACGATATTTTTGTTACAAATGAAAAGATACGGCCTTCAGAAACTAGGCTTTATTCAACTTAATAAATGAGCTACATTTCTGTTTTAAGATCAAGATATTTTCCACAAAGATGTCACTTGTATCATTCTTAAAGTACCATAGACAATTTGCAACAGAGGAGGTTCATATCATTCTCCCTCGCTATATTTCAATGTCCAGGTACACTTACTTTAGTCATTATCACAAACGAAATCTTCTAGATAGCCTGGTCTTCTGCGAGCCCTGTGGGAACGCCGGCTTAGGTTTGCCTCTGGCTCTTCAGCAACACCAGTTTCTTGACCAAGTTCAGGCTGCTGAACAGATTCAGATTCCTGAACTATTTCATCCAAGTCTGATGGCTCTTCTTGACAGGAATCATCCTCTCCATCCGGTAAAGGAGCCAAATGTCTGTTTGAAACGGTGGTCTCTCTACCATCTTGTAATCTTATATACGAATATGATGGATTTGTTTGTAAAAGTTCGACCTCTTCCACTAAGGGGTCGTACTTTGAAGCACGAACATTCCTTTTCATGAGAGCGGTCCCAGAAGACGATAACCATGATGGTATCGACTGCCCATTCATTGTTCGTCGAGGGTGGCAAAACAAACGTTCGTGAGGAGTGCAATTTGTGGCCGTGCAAAGTAAAGAACGTATAGAATGTAAAGATTCGGATAGCACTTGTTCCCAATCCGTCACTTCCAGGCCCTTAGATTTTAGGAAAAGNAGATAAATCTGGTAGATTACTTTTCGAATTTAAACACCCGAACGCCGCACAATATTTCTTTCTCTTTATGTCCATTTTTAAATAATACTTCGATCATAGAATTATAATCATACTACAACGCACGCCAGCGTCCTGACGAGTGCGCGCGTGACACTCGACTGATATAATACCCGCCGGCGGGGCGCTTCGCTGTAGGTAATTATCGGATGTACCGCGCGGAGTGAGCCAGGCCTGGTATTGCTCTCAACAAAGTTTATTTTCCCTATTTGCCATGAGATTCTGGTACACCTATAGTACTTATTATTATTCTGTGGCTATACTAATATTATAAAGCTGAAGAGTTTATTTGTTTGTTTACTTGAACGCGCTAATCTCAGGATCTACCGGTCCGATTTGAAAAATTATTTCAGTGTTAGATAGCCCATTTATCGAGGAAGGCTTTATACCATCACGTAATCATCAGTAATAAATGATTTTCACGCGTACGAAGTCGCGGGCACTGCTAGTCGGTAATAAAGCAAGAAATGTGTTACCTCTATCAGGCCACGACATCCCGCCGCGGAAGGATCCATTCGACCTGCAAGGTGTGTAGTTCTCGCCGCTACCACACCCACCCACTTCGAAGTTGCCATGTCCTGAAATGTAGCATACACCTAGTCTATCAGCTGGTTATGCATATGCGCTCGTCTATTGTTTCTGTTAGTGGTTGAGGTATTTTTTCAACGTAAGGCTGCGTTTATAGAAGAATATTATAGATGCGCTAGTATAGAAGCGCTTCATTTACCGAGGCGAAGTAAATGAAGCGATTCTGTTGGTTCTTTGCAAACACATCCCTCGCTACGCATCCTCGCACATCTATGGTGGAAACGCAGCCATAGGCTTATTCATTTTCTACTTTAAGTGATTGAAAACGAATTTCCATTAACCTGGACAGAGCTCAGCCCTTTGCGGTGGAAACTCCGTAAGCTGCACCGGTGGGGAGGTTGGAGTCACTCTACAGTGGGCCATCTAAAAAAATATCAGTCAGTCATTATTTTTCACGACCTTATTGGCGAATTTTAAAACATGCAGAACAAAATCCACTCATCTTTGCCACCAAAAAAAGGAAGAACGTAATTAAAATTAACCATGGCGACTCAATGAAGCATAAATGACCTTGTGGGTGGCTATCCCACGCTGCGCTTGCCGGTACTTGGCCTCCATTCCAGAACGTGGCTGCCCCATAGGATTGCTGAATGTTTTACCATGAAATCCAGTAAAAGCTGAAAGACTTTACTTGCCTTATACATGCTAGCGTATCTCCCGTCCGTGGCCTGCGCAGCAGAGTCACTCCTCGCCATCTCCTGAGTCTGTGCGCGCGCGCAAGTGTGCGTGATTCGCACATTTGGAGGGGACGGCGGCTTCGCTGGGGGAGGGGAAGGAAATAAATATTAACATTGTTATAAAGACTAAGCGATAACTATGCGAACATCAGACTTTCTTTTCTCATCCTAATATTAATTTAACCACCGCTTTGGGACAGTAAATAAGCCAGTGCTGAGAAGAAGCAGCGCAAGAAACTCAGACATCTTTTCAGTGCAGACCAAATCCTCCATTTTTCGTTGGCGAATTAGAGAGGGTCGTGTCGTGCAACAGCAGTGGACACTAAATGCCTTGATGATAATGAATGATGATAAACATACCCAACTACGTAAATATTGGAACCAGACACAAATTCTTGAATGTTAGAATAAGACCCCACGCCCTGTTTCGCGCCAAATAGAAATTTTATTGTCAGTTAGTCGGTTTATGTACTACTTTTAAAACGATGTTAAGTATAGGCTATGTAATGGTAGTTACCAGCGTTAGGCATCAGGGTATACTGCCTGCTTCCATCCAGCAGCGTGACGGCCAGCCCGGAGTCGCGAAGTCCGCGGACCACGGCCACCATACCTTCGCCACCCTCCATGATCACTCAGTTGTGGTCAATGGGGATGTGCTGAAACACAAGATGCCCTTAAGCTTTGCAGTAAAAATACTGGCTAGTGGCTTGAACAACTTCTTTTTCTAGGGACTACACTTGAAGGTTGAGTTCCCTTCTTTAAAAAAATATGTGGCTAGCATAAAGACAACAAGGTCTTGCGATTTGCGCACGAAACTTCATAGCATGCAAGCATCCACTTATTGAACGGGAATTATGTTCCCAACGGGGGCAAATAATGTGACGAGTATATTTAAAAATATTTTTACCGTCATTTTAAGCATCCTCAAACAGGAATGACTTAAATCAGGCCTATAACAGGCCTGCCATTCTTCGCAATGGGGAATGGGCCTGCAAACAAAAAAAAACTCAGTCCAATTACAGAATACTCTTGTAGTAGCTAGGTAAATCGATCCAATTTACAACTTACTCAGGAACATACTGACGATGGCAAGATAAAAATAATGGGAAACCGTGCACTTGGCACTTTTTGGAGATGTGTACAGCAGTGGATTACAATTAGCTAAAATGTATATGAAATGATTTTAGCACACTCCTCTGCGTTACTTTGCCCCCTGAGTTTGCCCCGTTGTTGTGTGGAGATGCGAACACAGAAATGTGATTGGACCTCCTCAAGTTAAAAAGAAAGTTTTGTGCTTGTTCCACGACTTGTACAGGACCATTCAGGGACCTATTTTCTGCCAGGAATACGGTCACACAACCCAAACTATACCTATGACTTATCTGAGGGTTCATAAAGTATTACAAAAGCTACTTACATTTCTTGCAAGAATCTGAACGGTGTTAGTTCTTGGCTGCAGAATACAGTAATTTGTGGGATATTTTAGAAGGACAGGATGACTTGGAATTTTGGCTGCCTATTATTTCTGATGTCAAACTAATGTCAGGATAACGTTTGGATCGAGAATTTCAAATTTTTCTGACAAATCCTCAGAAAACGGCCAGGTTTTCGTAGCAAGTATTATTGATGACATAATAATATTTCATGCAGCCTGCATGCGGCCGGAAGCCGGAAATCAGAAATCTTTGAGGGAGGCCTATGTTCAGCAGTGGATGTCTTATGGCTGAAATGATGATGATGATGATGAATTCTTCAATATTGGAAGCAATAGTCTTGACCATTGTCTTGACATTGACTGACAAAACTTCTTTGGATTTTATTCCTGTAAGGACTAAATAAAACCTACACATAGGCAATCTTCTTCTTTTTAAAACCGTTTCTTCTTTTTGGTTTATTTCGGTTGAAGTTGACGTATTCTGACAGCAGTCTGTCACATAAAATTCACAAGTAAAAATGGTAAACTGATAAAAAAAATCATCGTGAAAAATTGTACATAAATATTTTAACACAACACTTCAGACTTACGGGATCCATGTAACTCTTGGAACAGAGTAAACTTTGGCCAGACGGCCTAGCTGATGGTATGTTAATCTTCCTAAGACTTGTCTTCTGGTTCTTGGAGATCCATCTTCTTTCGAACCATGTGCTACCACAAACCTCCGTTGGCAGAATCGTAGTCAAAAGCTACAACGAACTTCACAGATTCTACGAAACACAAGCACATAACCCAGCGTTCTAGAATGCAGTGCTAGGAATATACCTAATTATACAGGGTGTCCCAAAAAGTAGTGTCAATCCGAAGCAAAGAGGTAGAGCATCACTGGGTGTTACAAATGAAAAGATACGGCCTTCAGAAACTAGGCTTTATTCAACTTAATAAATGAGCTACATTTCTGTTATTTTAAGATCAAGATATTTTCCACAAAGATGTCACTTGTATCATTCTTAAAGTATCATAGACAATTTGCAACAGAGGAGGTTCATATCATTCTCCCTCGCTATATTTCAATGTCCAGGTACACTTTAGTCATTATCACAAACGAAATCTTCTAGATAGCCTGGTCTTCTGCGAGCCCTGCGGGAACGCCGGCTCAGGTTTGCCTCTGGCTCTTCAGCAACACCAGTTTCTTGACCAAGTTCAGGCTGCTGAACAGATTCAGATTCCTGAACTATTTCATCTAAGTCTGATTATAGTCTATCCAATATAGCTTGATTAGAATGACAGATGTCATCAAAAGTAACGACATAACTTTGTAGTAGCGTTCAATGAGAGCTAAATATTAGCGGACAAGAAATAATTCACGTCTGACCTACAAACAATATTTTCGACGACAGTGCTTCCAATAAAAATGATAATTTCGTGTAAATGCAGCGTTAAATTACACCAATAAGTAGTAATTCGAAATTATAAAAATCAAGCTAGAGTATTAACGACGTCTCTACAAGGTTATCTCGAGTTACAAAAATGTTAGTGTTGGGACATATCGACAAATGTCATATTAAATTAAAACTATTTTTTTAACATATTTAACAAAAAATTTTTCTAACTAATTTTTTAACATATTTAAGTCAAGTTATACGTTTTTCTAAATGTTCACTATTAAAAACCAAAAAACATTTCATTCTTAAACAATCAAACATCGGAAATCAATCACCGGTAATTTTTTGGGTATTCATAGCACCGTTGCTCTAGAAGAGATGCCCACCGCCCTCTAGCGAGAGGAAAAAACCACTGAAGAACACTGATGATAATGACTACGACTTAGGTTGTACACCCATGACATGAATTTTAAATTTTACTGTCTTTAAATTTAAATCATAATTGTCGTTTTTATTAATAAAGATATGAAGAAAAATTGGGTGCATTTTTTTATATCATTTTTTCGAAAACTTATCGATACATCTATGTGAACCGTATGAAACATACCCATCACTAGTCACATTCGTTTGACAGCCGTCATTCTAATCAAGCTATATTGGATAGACTATAAAGTGTACCTGGACATTGAAATATAGCGAGGGAGAATGATATGAACCTCCTCTGTTGCAAATTGTCTATGATACTTTAAGAATGATACAAGTGACATCTTTGTGGAAAATATCTTGATCTTAAAATAACAGAAATGTAGCTCATTTATTAAGTTGAATAAATTGTTACAAATGAAAAGATACGGCCTTCAGAAACTAGGCTTTATTCAACTTAATAAATGAGCTACATTTCTGTTATTTTAAGATCAAGATATTTTCCACAAAGATGTCACTTGTATCATTCTTAAAGTATCATAGACAATTTGCAACAGAGGAGGTTCATATCACTGGGGCTACCTGAATTTGTGGGGCTGTATAGGAACGCTCTCTGTTTAGCAGTCTTTGTTATTGATGACGTCATCATCTTCGCAGGTGCTGCAGTAGCGCGGGATGAACCCCAGGGAAACGATGGCGACGGGTGGGGGTCAGAATGATGACGCCACTGTTTCCTTGGAAGGTAATCTTTCTAAGTATGCTGTTAAGAACACACGTCACACCCTGTCCGTTTCTTTAACCACAACGGTCAAGCTCTTGGCCTATGATGATCAGGCCGTGTGAGTTTTACCCAGAATCCTCAATCTCAGAGTATCTGGCCATCTTACCTCCAACTGCCTAAACGCAATAATGCTGTTAACATTGTTGTTATGGCGATAGACTCAGGTAAGATGGTGGTGGGTGGGCCAAACCAAGCAGGAAACTTTATCTCCACTGAAAATCGAACTCAGGATTTCCCTGTATAAAACAGGCCTAAGCACTCAACCACGTTAGCTTATTTATCATTATCATCAGCCCCTATTTTTTTCCTTCTCACATAGCGAGATAATCAGTAGGATTTTTTTAAACTCATAGCAATTGGACCTCCTATTGTGTGTGCCGTCTCTTTTGTGGATTTCTTTTTTATTCTTGTTTTGTGTGGTGTACAATACAGTATTTATTTGTCTTAACTTTATCACAGGTACCACAGACAAGCAACCCCCACCCCCAAAGTCAAAAAAGATCTATATCCCCATCCGCATCCAGACCAACGCCTTAAACAACGACGATATAGCCATCAACGCCACCTACATCAGCATAGAAGACCTCTCGTCCAGGACCAAGAAGAAGGAAACGAAGAAAGGAAAGAATATAGAGATCAGATACCTGGAGAGCATCAGGAGTTTCAAGGATAAGATCAAGTCTTCTTATGTAAGTTGGATGCTAAAATATCTTAAACTTTCGCAATAAAACTAACTAGGAGCAACGGGTCTCAAACGCGTCACTTAGGTACATGAGTAAGTAGGTACTATTACTATCTATAGCCTGACATTTTGACTGTATTGCTACAGCCGGAGTCACTTTCGGTGTTTCTAATTTGCAAAATGAGGATAACTTGACGAAAATGGCGATTCAATTATACAAATTGTATTTTTTGAGATAAATTTTCATCAAAATCCTTAGTAATATATTAATTATGAAGAAGCATTATGAAACAAAGAGCGTCGACAACTATCTGCTGCGTTAAGGGTTTCTACGTTACTCCCAATAGTCGGTGGACCGACGATCTAGTAAAAATCTCAGCAACCTAAATCCAGGCAGAGCAGAACCAGTCGTTGCGTAAAGACCTCTCTGCCTTTCTTGTCTTTTATATTAAAGTAACTAAATGAACGTAATATCCCGCAGTCGTGCAACCAGCAGCACTGCCCGATGATCAAGGAGCGACTGGATCAACACCAGCAGGAACACCACTCCTGCGCAGAGTCTGGTAGCAGACACGACCGCCAGAGCCAGACTGTAAGTCTTCAAATACCATTGCTAGATCAGCAGCAAATTAAACTTGACTAAGATCACTGGCATCGTCCATTGATCACTATGGTTGACGCAAACCATCTTAAACGTTTTCATTCATCATCATCATTTTCAGTCACAGGACGTCCACTGCTGAAAATAGGCCTCCCCCAATGATTTCCACAATGGCCGGTTAGTGGCGGCCTGCATCCAGCGCCTTCCCGCTACCTTTATGAGGTCGTCGGTGTACCTTGTGGGTGGACGTCCTACGCTGCGCTTTCCGGTACGAGGCGTCCATTCCAAAACCTTGCTGCCCAAAAGTTCTGCGTACTATGTGCCCTGCCCATTACCACTCCAGCTTGCTAATCCGTCGGACTATGTCAGCGACTGGTTCGTTTACGGATCTTCTCATTTTTGATTCGATCTCGTAAAGAAACACCGAGCATAGCCCTCTCCAGTTCATAGTAAAAACAAATAATATATTTTTGATTTCAGAATATACCATCGGCTATTGCAGTTGGTAAGTTATCAAAATATTGTTTTCATTCTTAAGTTGCTAAAATAGTCGGTTAGTTTTTATTAAAATGAGACAGACAAAGTTTTCTCATGTTTTTTTCAGCCTCCAAACCGAGCATACATCGAGTTCTTTCAACAGAACCAGGAGGAGTTACCAGATCTGTGAGTAGGAGTGGTTTGCTGCATAAAACATATTTCTGGAGTTAGAACAAATACTTTTTTTTGACGACTGCTTATTGCTTTGAGCTAAACTTGCATTACCTACCTCATTTCAGCCAAAGAACATCAACTGCTGGACAAAGGCCTCCCTCAAGAATTTCCACAATGACTGGTCCTGCGCTGCCCGCATCCAGATGCTTCTCGCTACCTTTACCAGATCGTCGGTGCACCGAGTGGAAGTAGGCCTTCCACTCGTTGCACCACCCAACATTGCGTTTTACCACGCCACTCGAGAACACAGCGCGACCATCAGTTCTAGAGTCTTGTGCCCCCTCCTCTGCCTCTTTAAGTTTGGCAATAAAAATAATTATTTTTTTCTACAGGTCGCAATTTCTCCAGCCGCATCAATCTTAAAACGTAACTCAAGGTTCACCGAAAGCCATTCCATACAAACTCCTCCCAAATTCGTTGATTTCACTCACACAGCACAAGGCAGTAGAAGCTTTGAGACAAATCTGTTTAGATCTGATGAACAAACCCAATTCAGTCATGATACTTTTAAAACTGTACATGTACAAAATGAAACTACTACCACTTCAAAAAATAGTTTTGTGAGAGACGATTTGCACGAAGAAATACTGAAATGGTTCGAGGATATACCAAT